ACCGACCAACCTCATCCCGCCCCCTTGACCTGTCCGTCCTCCCTGGACTGACCTATCCCCTTCCTAACTCCCTACCTACACTCACCTTTCCTGGCCCCATCCCCGCCTCTTCGACCTGTTTGTTTCTTCTCCACCTATCCTCTCCTCCATCCCTCTTCTATCCGCCTCCCACTCTCTCCCTATTTATTTCAAAACCCCCTTCCCCTCCCCCTTTTCTGATGAAGGGTCTAGGCCCGAAACGTCAGCCTCTCTGCTCCTATGATGCTGCTTGGCCTGCTGTGTTCATCCAGCCTTGCACCTTGTTGTCTGAGAACATATCTGCTCTTCTTTCCTCATCAAATGCCTACTGACCATTTGGGGGCCTTTAATACACTGCTAACAATGTGACTGTTGCCTTTTTATTCCTAAATTCTACCCACAAAGTCACATTTGATGACCCTTCCAAGATATCATCCCTCCTAACTGCAGTAACTGATTCCCCAACTCATAATGTGACACCATCTTCACTTTTGCACTCTCCCTGCCCTGCCTGAAGAACCTATATCCCAGAATGTTAAATTACTAGTCTTGTCCCTCCCTCAACCACACCTCTGTGATGGCAACAACATTACAGATCCATGTGTCAATCCATACCCTTAACTCATCTGTCTGACTGCAATACTCCTGGCATTAATGTAGATGCCATTGATTCTCACCCTACTCCCTTGAGTAACCACATAGCTGAGCTTGCTCTGCCTCGATGCCTTTTTTAAGTAATCAGTGTTGCACAGTAACTCCTATCCCGGCTGAATTAGTTTAAAACTCCTCCCAACAGCACTAGCAAACTCTTCTGCAAGGAGGTAGCTAATACTATCTCCTAACCTTACACTTGAAAATTCATTCAGCTGCATAAGAAATAAAAAAAAATCAGAGCAGGAATAGGGCATTCAGCAGGAGGGTTCCTCAGCAGCACTCCTTGAAGCAGTGCTTTCTAAAATGTTTCTCGTTGTGATCCCATCCTGGTGCATGAGGTTTGCCTAGATTACAGAGCTCTGTGTGTGTGTGTGTGTGTGTGTGTGGTATTGGGTGGGGAGGGGAGGGGAAATGGGTGGTGGCACAGACTGGTGTATGGTGTCCCAGGAAGAGGCCTGTTTTATTTTGGACCCCTTGAAAGAACCAAGGGGGCTTTTATTTTTATCCCATGTTGTCTCTGTCCCAGAAGTGCTTGATGAGGTCGGTGTAAGGGGAATTTTTATTTTTATTTGCAACGAGTAGAGGAATTTTTCCTCTGACTTTTAGACCATTGTTATCCCAGTTATGGAAGCATACAATGGGGACAGGAGTGAGAGAGTTTGATTTTTAGTTTCCTTTTTGTTTGACTGAGTCAAGAAATGTTTATTCCACATTTCGACTCCTAATTTCCCCTACCCCAAGCGTGGTGGGGGGGACAGTGTCAAGGAAAGCCAGGTTTTGTTTGTTGATGTGTTTTCTTTGTTCTGACCCCTGCAGAGTCTCACTGGAACTTTCTTTCAGTTTAAGAGTTGGGAAAACTTTTATTTTTCTGTTTAAAAGACTAGAGATTGGTGATTTGGGTTGGAGTTTGGGATAGATATTAGAAGAGAGGGGTATGACACATGTGACAGCAACGAGAGAAAGCTGTTTCATTAACAGCGTTTGTAAGTTAAAATCACCCACTTTCCTGACTAAATCTAGCTCTAAAGAAAATCTGCAGTTTGGCCACACCCAGCATTTTTTAAAACCTCTGATTTAAAGGGGACTGACAACTGTTAGCACATGGACAGAGCTCCACAGCAGATACTGCTGCATTAGTGCCTGTGTCTCCAAATTTTAGCTGGGAGCCTCACTGGGGCTTGTGACCCACCAGCTTCAAAAGCCCTGCATTAATGGGACCGTAAAATATATTGCAGAGTGCTCAGGACCACTCACAACTTCTTAGATTTTGAAGTCTCAGTTATTAGAATTTTGAAACCCACATTTGGTAAGATGGTGGACCATGGTAATGTAAGTGAATTAGTAATCCAGAGGCCCAGGCTGATATTCTGAAGACATGGATTAAAATCCCATCGTGCCCAAATGTTAAATTTGAATCTCTTAAAATCAAGAATTGAAAAGCTAGTCTAGTGAAAATCATTGAGACATCGTTGTACAAGCCCATCTGATTCACTCATTTTCTTTAGGAAAGGAAATAGCCATTTTAACCTGGTCTGGACTACATGTGACTCCAGGCCACAGCAATATGTTGGACTCTTAACTATTCTCTAGCAATCTACTTAGTTGTGGACAATTAGGAATGGTCAATAAATACTGGCCAAGCCCACATCTATGCAAGAGTTAAGAAGATAAAAACCATGCAGCAAAGTGTAGACAATATTCAGTCTTAAGCTGATAATTTCTGCTGCACAAATGCCAGGAAATAACCATCTCCAGCAAGAGAAAACCACGTCTTCTTGATGCTCAATGCTATTACCATCACTAAATGCCTCACTGTAAACATCCTCAGGTCCAGAAAGTTAACTGAACCAGCTGTGAGTACTTTACCCAATCTTTGAGTCTACATTTGTATTACAGCTACAAGATCAGGTCAGATGCTAAGAATTCGGCAGCAAGTAACTCATTTCCAATCTTCCCAAAGCCTGTCCATCATCTACAAGACTCAAGTTAGAAGAGTAACAGAAAATGCTCCAGAGGTCTGCTGGTTGCAGTTTGCTTGATTAGTACTGTCCTATAAGAGAGTTAGTCACTGAATGGGTTACTGGACATGACGAGGTA